GTATAGATGAAGGAAACAAGTAAAATCAAACCAGTGTACAAGCTAGTCTCGGCCTCGAGCTAAAGTGACCTCGAGGTAGGTCAAGAACAGTAAAGTAAGAACAATAAAGCTAAAGGACAATTCTGATGGACAATGAGCGAGAAAAGTAAGAGATTATATTCTTTGCCAATGATTGATTATCTTTACAAATGATTAGGGTCCCCTTTATATAGCAGGGGAACCCTAAATAAGGTACATTTCTATTTTCAGTAAGGAATCTTATTGGGACAGCTGTCTAACCGCCTAGTACGGATTCGTACTAGAACGTTATCCCTTCAGGTGACAAGCGGAATATCTGTGTTCGGTCTTCGGCCATCCTCGGTGTTCGTTGAGTACTTCGATCATCGAGGCCTCCCATCGGGCTCGCTCATAGTCTATTTCGATCTCTCTCTTGAAGCAACCCTCGAGTCCACGAAATCGGGTATCTCCGATTTCTACCGTATATAGATAGTCCCCTCGTTTTTGGAGTATAACGACAAGAAATGAATTGAATCCTTGATCTTTACCGCCATTTGTTACGACATCATCATCGTGATGTAAGCGACTGAGGAAACAAAAGTTGTGAAGCTGGCCTTTCCCGAGGAAGACTCCGAGAACTCTAGCGAGTCCGGTGGTGGAGAAGATTATGAGGGTGAAGACGCTTCTGCCGATAAGGATCGCGCTGCTTAGGTTTCGTGTTCTTCGTAATTTTTGCTTTTGAGGCTGATCGGCCCTTGCAAGGAACTCTTGATCGTGACCTATAGCCCTTGTAAATAGGTTTATACAAAGCTTTTTTCCTTCCATGGATTTTGAATCTGTTACCCCAAAGCGTCTTAGCATAAAATTCCCTTTGAATGTCCAAGGTTTTGAGATGGTAATGACCGACAATAAGTACTGCCCTCGACCGTTTCTGATCAATGGACCCCGAATGATCATTTGAACTTGAGTTTGAATAGCTCTTAGGCCAAACAGTTGATGAGGTAAGGTAACCCTAGGGCTTGATGGTTGAGTGAGTGCATGCTCGAACTTGAAATGAAATTAGCCCTTAGGCTTTATAGTCGAGTGAGGATTTGTTAGAACTCGAAGTAAAGTTAGCCCTTAGGCTTTATAGATAGTCCTCGAGTGAGGATTTGCTCGAACTCGGGTTAAGATAGCCCTTGGACTTTTATGATCAAGTGAGGACTTGCTCAAACTCGAAGTAAAGTTAGCCCATAGGCTTTATAGTCGAGTGAGGATTTGCTCGAACTCAAAGTAAAGTTAGCCCTTAGGCTTTTCTATATTGGCCCTTAGGCTCTTTAGATCGGCCCTTAGGCTCTTTAAGTTGGGCCAATTCGGCCTCTAAAATCGGCTATAATTTTTTCCTCTTTTCGGCTAAAAGACTCGGTAAAAATTTCTTTATGCCTTAGCATGTATTTTTTGTACCCGTTGGGTTTTTTCGAGGGTTCAACGATCGTAACCCAATTTTTCCTTAACTCATTTGTGTTAAGATAATTTAAAACCTCTTGAGACTTTTTCGAAGGCTTATATTATCGAAGCCTTTAAATTATTCGATGGCTGATTTTATCGAAGCCCTTTTTTGTTTGCTTTGTCGAGGGTAGCCTTATTTAACCTGTTTTCAAAGTGTTTGAAGGCCTTTATTTTATGGCAGAAGTCGGACGCCTCCGAGCCGCATTATTTCGGTCGTAGCTCTTTTATATGACTGTAGTCTTTAATATGGCCGTAGCCTTCGGGTATGTCTCTTGGACTTGTTTCCCGATAACATTTCGAACTTGTTCGAAATGTTAATCCCCGAGTGTGATGGCCTTGACCTGTATATCGGGGGGTTCCTCTTTTCTTTGAGGTCTTATGATTTCGAACATAGATAGCTCGAGTCGGTAGTCCCCGAGTGTTCGAGGTATGCTTGCACTTGGGTTAAGATAGCCCTTGGGCTTTTATGATCGAGTGAGGATTTGCTCGAATTCGAAGTAAAGTTAGCCCTTAGGCTTCATAGATAGTCCCCGAGCGAGAGTTTGCTCGAACTCGGGATAAGATAGCCCTTGGGCTTTTGTATTTGTTATAAATTTTGGAAGTCTTCGATCCGCGTTAATTTGGTCGTAGCCTCTTTAGTTCGGAACTTGTCCTTTGGGTTTATCTTCTTCCACTTTGAGCTTGCCCGAAATGTCAGTCCCCGAGTGGGGTGGCCGTGGCATATAAAGTCGAGGGTCGCCTTTAAGGTCTTATGGTCTCAAAATTTTAATAGTTTGATTTCGTTCGTCTTTCCTATGGCCCTCAAGCACGGGGTTAGTTGTTTGAACTTCCGTCTCGGTCGGCCCTTAAGCCTGTTTACACAATAGATCAAGAGTACAAAATAGGAAATTGTTCTAAAAGCATGAGATATCGGCAAGGAAAAACACTTCTCTCATTAGATGATTATTCATGCGCGCATGTTTGATGTTTAGGGCTCGAGTAACCTATACGGGCACGGTTCATCTGACCGTTTGACCGTTACAACATTTTCCTATCGTCAAGAAGTGATTTCCTTGCCACAAAGTAGACATACAAGGGTAATGCCCTCCAATACTCGAGGCTTATTGTAGGGAACCTCGGATACTGTTGAATTGCTTTTAGTTAACACGAACAATGGTTGCCTCGTTAAAAACCTCGCCGGAAAAACCCATTTGGGACAAAAAACCGGTCTAAGGGAAAAAGAGTGCAACACGTGCTTTGAGATCCAAAGCTTCCTGCCGATCCTTGTTGATGCCTGCAAGTGTTAGTCGGAAAAAAAAAGAAAGGATTGGACTGGGGTCGTACCTTTATTCGGAATTTGGATACTTAAGGTGATCTTCCTAGGCATCAAGCCCCTGTGAATTTTGACTTCAATCATTTCTCCTCTCTTTTCGTGCGAAGTTTTGCCCAGAACCGCTGCCTCTATGGTCTCCGTTGTACGGTTGATATCGATCTCTATTCGACCTCGGCTCTCGATCGATATCCCTTTTGATCCTATCCATGGTCCTGCTAGGATAAACGGACCCCGAAGGAGTCCCCAGTTGATCATCCTCGACCCTAATCTTCGACTGATACCGATTATTTACGTCGGCCCAAGTGACAGTTGGGTACTCGATTAAACTTTGCTTCAACCGCTGTGAAGCTATGGAACTCCGAGTGTTGAGACCTTGAGTGAAAGCTTGAACAGCCCAGTCATCGGTGATCAGATGCAAATCCATTCTCTCCGCTTGGAACCGAGATACGAATTCCCTAAGCATCTCGTTATTTTTCTGCCTTACCTTGAAAAGGTCCGACTTCCTTGTTGCAATTTTAATGGCTCCGGAGTGTGACTTTACAAAAGAATCAGTAAGCATAGCAAACAAATCAATAGAATTAGGGGGTAAGTTATGATACCATATTAAGGCACCTTTCGATAGAGTCTCCCTAAACTTCTTCAGCAGTAAAGACTCAATTTCGTCATCTTCTAAGTCGTTTCCCTTTATGGCGCACGTGAAAGAAGTAACATGCTCATTTGGGTCAGAGGTTCCGTTGTATTCAAGTATATCGGGCATACGAAACTTCTTTGGGATGGGCTTCGGAGCCGCACTCAGAGGGAACGACTTTTGTACAATTTTCCTTGCATCTAATCCCTTCAAGATCGGGGGAGCTCCCGGTATTTGATCAACATGGGAGTTATAAGTCTCCACTTTTTTGTCATTATCCTCAATCTTTTTCTCCCCTGACTCGATCCTCTTGGTGAGTTCCTCGAGCATACTCATAATCATGGGGTCAGTCCCCGAGCCGTTACCGTTTGATCTTTCTGGCACCGGCTCAGTTCGTCGAGTGTTTTCTGGTTCGACTATGCTTGGAGTTTTGTGCTAACTTTGAAGCTGAGCGATAGCAACCTGTTGAGCTTGAAGCATCTCGAATATTACTTGGAGGCTGACTCCCCCATCTCCTATACCCTGTGTTCCTTGGCCGCCAGATCGGGCTTCCCTGCTTACACTTCCTCCTAGGTCTGCGCCCAAATCCGTATTCAGAGCAATGTGAGAGCTAACATCAATTGGCTCCACATTTGGCACTTCCCCAGGGTTTATCGGTGGTACACCGGCTCCCGGAGCGATTACATTGTTGTTTTCACCGCGAAATCCAAGACCGTCATCGCCGTGCATGTACGGTTGTGTTTAGTGAGTTTGACATGTTTTGACCTGAGAACAAAAATTCTTGGCAAGAACAAGTGTGAAAATAGTGTGTTATCAGAATCAGTACTGAAATAATCACTATTATCTTTAGCCCCACGGTAGGCGCCAAACTGTTTACCTCGAAAATACGAGTAATAATTAAATTTGATTTATGATTTTAAAGATATGTTATTTAGTTCAATACTAATTAATAACCAAGAAAACTAACGTATAAATGAAGGAAACAAGTAATCAAACCAATGTGCAAGCTAGTCTCGACCTCGAGCTAAAGTGACCTCGAGGTAGGTCAAGAACAGTAAAGTAAGAACAATAAAGCTAAAGGACAATTCTGATGGACAATGAGCGAGAAAAGTAAGAGAGTATATTCTTTGCCAATGATTTATTATCTTTACAAATGATTGAGGTCCCCTTTATATAGCAAGGGAACCCTAAATAAGGTACATTTCTATTTTCAGTAAGGAATCTTATTGGGACAGCTGTCTAACCGCCTAGTACGGATTCGTACTAACTCGTACAAATCTATTCCTGAATTTATGCCACGATCTTGGGGACATGTCGAGAATCTTGCTCTTTCTGTTACGGGACCATAACGGTATTATCTCGAGGTCGGTCATACTTGGCCTTGGTGTTCTTTGAGTACTTCGATCTTCGAAGCCTCCCATCGGGCTCGCTCATAGTCTAAGAATTGGAAAAGAAAAAAGAAAAAAGGAAAAAAAAAAAAGAACTCAACCCATGAACAATATGATAAAGTATTTGTCAAGTTGTAAGTCCTGTTCAAGTCAACATGCAGTCAACTTCATCATCCTTTTTTTCCACATTCATATCCATCTGCATAATAATTGTCCTCTTCACTTCACTTCCTCTCACTCACTCTTGTCCATGGCAAATCTTCTTTCATTTTTCACTTTTTCCCTTCTCTTCCTTCTCTCTTTACCTTCCTATTCAATATCCTCATCATCTGATTACTCCTTCCCTCAAAAATACTTCATCAACTGTGGTTCACATTCCAGTGTTCCCGCCGGAGCCACTACTTTTTCCGGCGACCTGATCTCCGACTCGGACCACAGTAGCTCTGCTGTGGGCCCCACTTCAACAGGGTTAGCGGAAATCTATAAAACTGCCAGAATTTTCAGACAAGATTCTTCATATGAACTTGAAACAGAGGGAAATGGTTTTTACATCGTAAGACTTCATTTCTTTCCTTTTTCTGATCTTTTTAATGCGAAGTTCGACATTATAGCATCTGGGTTTTTGCTTTTGTCTAATTTTACTGTCCCGAGAAACGTACCTTCTCCTGTCATCAAAGAGTTTTTACTCCCTGTGAAAAATTCCAAGTTGAAAATCAGCTTTAAACCTCAAAAATCATCTTTTGCCTTTGTAAATGCTATAGAAGCATTTATTACTCCTCAAGATTTCATTCCTGAGTCTGCTACTCATGTTACTCGTCAAGGAAATAGCAATATTAGAAATAAAGATTTGTCCTTAAGTGCTTTATCTGTAATTCATAGGATCAATGTTGGTGGTTCAGTAATTACGCCCGAAAATGATACGATCATGAGGAGATATTGGTTTCCTGATGATGATTACTTGTTTATCAAAGAATCAGCAAAGAACCATCCAACGTTTACTGATAGCCTTAACTATGATACAGAACGAGGAGCTAGTCAATATGATGCTCCTGACTTTGTTTATAAAACTGCCAAAGAAATGAATAAAGTTGTTGAGAGAAATGATAACAACTGGTTTAATATAACTTGGGATTTTGAAGTAAACAAGAATGGTATATTTTTCGTACGTCTACATTTCTGTGACATCATTAGTCAAGAAAGGAATCAAACGGTTTTCAATGTCTATATGAATGGTGTATTTGGACAGCCAATTAGTCCATTTGATAGACTTTCACAATTGGCAGCTCCTTTCTATGTTGATTTTGTGGTGGATTCAGATGGTTCTGGTTTTATGAATATCTCTGTTGGACCCCGGATCGACTCACGTACTCAAAATGCTTTTCTAAATGGAGTAGAAATCATGCAGCTGATTAACGAACGGGGATCTTTTCCAGATGGAAATGGACAGACCAGGAATCGTCGTTTGTTGATAATCGTTGGTGCTACGGTTGGTGGTGTGGTTGCGGTTCTCATCTTAGTTTCTGCAGTTGTTATCTTGTTTTGTTTGAAATCAAGAAAAGCAAAACCTGTTGAGAGTGTTGACTTGCGAGTTGTGAATGCTAATGGAACAAGTTCACACAGCAGAACTACTGTAAGAACTTCTCCAATTGGTAGCACTACTCCTGAAATGAATCTTGGGTTAAAGATACCTTTGGCTGAGATTGTTTATGCTACGAATAACTTTGATCCCAAATTTATGATTGGTGAGGGTGGTTTTGGGAAAGTTTACAAAGGAACTTTTCAAGATGGTGTTAAAGTGGCTGTGAAAAGAAGTGAGCCTGGACATGGTCAGGGCCTTATGGAATTCCAAACTGAGATAATGGTCTTGTCCAAGATTCGTCATCAACGTCTCGTTTCATTGATTGGATACTGTGATGAACGAAACGAGATGATACTTGTGTATGAATTCATGGAGAAGGGGACTTTGAGAGAGCATTTGTACAGTTCGAACGAAGATCTTGGTAAATCGTCTTCAAGGTCAGAATTATCTTGGGATCAAAGGCTTGAAATTTGTATAGGTGCAGCTGAAGGTTTACAGTATCTTCACACTGGTTTAAATGGTCCAATTATTCATAGGGATATTAAGTCGACGAACATCCTTCTTGATGAACATTATGTTGCTAAAGTTGCTGATTTTGGGCTATCGAAATCAGGTCCTCCTGGTCTAACACATATTAGTACCGATGTTAAGGGTAGCTTCGGTTATCTTGATCCTGATTATATAAGATGTATGCAACTCACTCAAAAATCTGATGTTTACTCTTTTGGAGTTGTACTTCTTGAAGTGCTTTGCGCTCGACCAGCTGTTAACACTCAGCTTCCAAGGGATCAAGTAAACTTAGCTGAATGGGGACTTTCTTGGCAAAGAGAAAACCAGCTAGAAAAGATAATTGATCCGTTGCTTGCAGGTAAAATTAAGCCAAACTCGTTGAGAAAATTCGGGGAAACAATAGAGAAATGCCTGCAAGAATATGGGACAGATAGGCCTAATATGGTGGATGTGTTGTGGGACTTGAAATATGCTCTACAGCTTCAACACTCTGCAATATTGCGACAAGAAATTCATGAAGATAGTACCACAGATGTTTCGTGGCAATTGGCATTGCCCGGTATTCATCGCTTACCTTCTATAAATGTAAGCACAAGTATTCCCAGTGCCAGTGAGAGTGAGGTTTTTTCGCAATTGGTGATCGATGAAGCTAGATGATTTTTGGCCTTAGCATATATGTTAGTTCACTTCAATATGTTGCAAGTCTGTCTTCTTCTGCTTCCTTTTGGTTAAGGCAATTCTATATATCATGTGCCAAAACCTTGTTGCAACTGTAGTAATAGTCAGGGTTCCTTTTCTATATTGGATAAGAGGCAAATACCTCAATCAATATCTGTATTAATAGTCTATGACATACTGTTCTGCTTATAAGCAGGGCGGATCTACCTTAGGCGACGCAGTGACGTGACACCGCTTCGTCGGAAAATTTTACTAAATATTTATATAAAGTTGAAATGTCGAAACAAAAACTAGAACAAATAAAATAAAGTGACACTACTAGTAAAAGAGTTAAGTAGGTCGTGTGGTCGAGTTTTGAAATGAGGTCCCGAGTTCGAAGGCGCACATCATCATTATTTGTTTTAGTATTTTTGTGCTTAAGATACACCAGCTGGATTTGAGCTATTGACCTTATAGTTTTTAACAAAATCTTCCATAAGTAGTTCGGCTATTTTTTTTCTTTCTGTTCATCTGTATTCTCAACGATAAAATTTATAAAAATAATTTACGAAATCAAATGAGTAATGAGTTTTTAATTGAATGTTTGGTGCCTTATGTAAAAAAAAAAATTATTCTAATGAGTTTATTTTGAATGCATTTCAAAAAATGAAAATTTGTAGTAATATGCTTGAGTTATTAATATGATTCTAATCGTGTTCATTTTTTAATAGATTTATTTACTTATTCATGGTTTAAAATAATGACACCACTTACGAAAAATATTGCGTACGCCACTGCTTATAAGAAATGTGGTGCTATATAGGGTATGTTTGGTACGAAGGAAAGGGTATGTTTGGTACGAAGAAAAATATGTTTGGAAATCATTTTCTTGAACAAACTGTATCACTCTAAAATTTAGAACCATTTCAAAAAGAGTTAATACCGTAAAATTCCCCTAATCTATCATATTTTTGTCAGTTTCCTACTTAAATTATTCGATGTTCCCAAATTGCATTCATATTAAAAGCCCCTCATTGCATTCTTAGAGGTGCGTCTAGTACACGCTCCTAATTATCTAAAAACGTGTCATGTAGCACTATACGTGGCTATTTAACTCAGCCTCAAAACCGCCTAAACTATCACTTTTTTGTCAGTTACCTACTTAAACTATCTGGTGTCCCCAAATTCCCTTGAACTATATTCTCCTATATATTAAAACCCCATGTTGGACTTTTAAATGTGCATCTGTCTAACTATATTAACTTACGGTTTGTACGAATCTTTTATATAGTTTACTCATGATGCATTACTCTCGGATGAATGATTAATTTTAGGAGTTTTGGCCAAAATAATATCTAATATACTATGTTAATTTTAGGTTTTATTGTGATTGTGCTTTATGCTAAACTCCAATTGAATAAGTCCTTATCTATATTCACTTTGTAGTACTGTAAAAATATAAATAAAGGCGTATAGTATTGCATTTCATAAAAATCATCTTATATTACATAAAAAAGAATACACAAAAAAAGTTTAGCAAATAAAAAATCAATTGGCCAACAATTACATTTTCTAATTCCAGATTACATAAAGAAGGTTCAAGAGATTCAACTTTATTCTTTACAAGGTGTTGAGTTTAATAAGAAGATTTAAATTGGTATTCTTTTAACAATATGTGTAAGACATGAAATCATTTCAGAGGAAACAAGAGAGGTAGAAAATTTTCCAGAGGAAACCCATATGGAGAACTGAAGAAAAAAGGTTAAAAAATGAAGAAGAAGGTGAAAAATAAAGAAGAAAGGTCAAGAAATAAGGAAGAATGGTGAAAAAACGAGGAAGAAAAGTGGATATAACTGAAATAAGGAGAATATTTATTAAAAAACAAATGTGAAAGAGGGTTAGGCTAATTAGCCATTACTTTCTGTCATGTAAGCCATTTTGATGGCTTTTTTCAGCTGCCACGTGCTTTCCAAGCGAATGTTTACACATGTTATGCTAGGTTAGCAATGAGGGGGTTTTAACATGAAAGACAATACAGTTCAGAGAGTTTTGGGAACGAGAATAGTTTAAGTAGAAAACTGACATAAATATGATAGTTTAAGGGGGTTTTAGGATATTAACTCTTTTAAAAATAAGCGAAGAAAGTCGTTTTTCCCTTTTTAATGAAAAATATTGTTCTTTGGTATTTGGTTGCCAAAAAAGACTTATTTTTTGGAAAATATTTTTCAGTCATACCAAAACGCACCCATGGAGGTGGTATATGGGTTGGATCAAACTTGGGTAGGTCAAAACAGGTCAAATCAATAAGTTGGTTGTGTCCAGCCTGCACAAAGTTTGTTTACGTCAAGATGGGTCACAACCCGACTCACGCAATATAACCTAACCTCCTCTCTTTTTTAAATTGCTCGTTTTGAAAAAAGAAAAGTGAAAATCTATTATATTTTTCTTGAATGATTAGCTAAAGTTTCTTCCAAATGTACCCAATTCTCCATCTCCAAATTCGATTTTGTATATTTAGGTTTGTTGTATGTTGACTCATTGTGTTGTACTATTTTGATCCGCATTAACCCAATAGTTTAATGGGTCAATTACGGCTCAATCTGTTGGGTCAAGTTAAAAAATGAGTTATAACTCAACCCGTTTTAATTTGGCCAGAATTGAACGATTACTATAAGAAGACTGGCAATTCTGCATTCTTTCGGATGTTGAACAAATTAATAAAACACCAAACAAGGATTTTTCTCGTTCATTTCCGTAATAGGAACAAATAGGCAAATTTTATGCTTTTAGTCAGCAAAATAACTGACAACAGAACCAATAACTCGTGGTCTCGGTGCATAATTAAAATGTTTAAGTATAAATAAAGATAAGAAATCACACAATGAAAGCATAAATATTATAGCTTAATTATAGCAGTACTGACGATAAAGTTAAGCTAACCACCTATTGTTGACCTGAATTCTTTAGGGCTAAATATTCTATCACGAACTCCAAATGAAGGATATACAGACACAGGGGCAAAGCTAGTCTTTCGGTTGCGAGTTCGGCCGAACTCAGCAGCTTTGGTCCAAACCTTATTTGTCTTAAAAAATTCACTAAATTATAAATAAAATTATTGATCTTGAACTCAGTAGCTTAAAAAGACTAAAATTCCAAACTCGTAACTCAGTAGAGTCTGTCACACCACTTTTTGTACCCCCCGAAATATATGTATATATGGGTTAAAGAGTTTTTCCAATTAAAGTGACAAAAACTTGAGTAGGGATTATTTTATTATTCAGAGTCGCCACTTGGAATTGATTTTTTCGGTGTTCCAAGTCACCATTTATTTGAATCCCTAGTCAAAGGAAGGTTTGACTCTATTTTTATCGGTCCGCGAAAACAAAGTTCGGATAAGGAATTCTGTTGACCGGGGAGAAGGTATAAGGCATTCTCCGAGTCCCGTGGTTCTAGCACGGTCGCTTTATTGACTTAAACTTGGCTTGAATTAATTTTGGACAAACTGTGATTTATATTATTTTCATATTGTACCTATCCGCTTTTATCTCTTGATTATTAGAGAAATCAAAGAATGTTTTTGAATAATATAAAAAATGTCATAACCACGCTACGCGAGCGAATGCGTGATCGAATAAAAAATAATTAATTAATTTGTCATAATTGTGCCTCGCAAGCGAATCCGAAATCATGACAATCAATTATTTGTAATACTTTTAAAAAAAAGGAATACTACATTTGAGAAAATTAGCTCTTTAAAATTTACAAGTCAACCGTCGCGCTACTCAAGCGAATGCGTGATCGACGAAATTTATTATTTAATCATAACGGCGCTACGCAAGCGAATCCGCAGTCATGACAAACAATTGTTAGCAAGTTATTTACTTCTAGGAAAATTAATACATTCTAAGAGTTTAATTATTAATTTTTTTTGAAATTTATTAAAAGGTCAATTATCGCGCTACGCAAGCGAATCCGCGTGTTTGGCAAAGAGTTTATTAAACTAAAAATCAACTGGAAAACTAACGAATATTGTATGACCTTGTTGAATTAAATTATTGAATGTTGAACATCACGTTACGCAAGCGAAACCGTGGAATTAGAGCGCACCTACTAATTGCCTAGCGTTCGATATAATTAATTGGAAGAAAGTGAGTTACTTAATTGGTATATAAAAAAAATCTGATTTTTATCTATTTTTCTAATCTTATTATTGAAAAAGCAAATAAATGTTGGACCAACTCTATCTATTTTAAAGGGATGGGCCAACTTCTTTGTTAAAAGGGGAAATGGGCCAGCTTGTAAAGACCTCTTGGGCTGCTGGAATTTATTACTAAAAAATGGGCCAAGAAATGGATTTTTATTGGCCCAATGCTATATAGAAGAAAAGGGTAATTTTGTTGTTTAAGGTAAATGGGCCAGCTTTTATTTTTTGGTTCAAAAGGCCCAAAGTTGATACAATATTGGTTCTTTAACTTAGTTTGCATTTATGACCATTAACTACATAGCCACAATTGTATAAACACACACTTTACAAAAATAGCCACTTTTGCAAAGCTGGCAAAATGGCCAGATTCAAAAAAAACACTTTACAAAAATAGCCACTTTTGCAAAAATGGCAAAAATGGCCAGATTCGAGAAAAAAAACAGCAATCCTAGAAGCAATGTTGCATTGAAATTTCAGCAACTAAAACAAACTCATGCTATGTGTTATACACCTAAAGTCATTCATGGCATACTTAACATTGTTACTCGAATACAATAGCTTGAAAACATGCTTAAAAATCCATAAAACTACTGACATATCAACTTATTCCCATTGCTAAAAATACATACATTACGAGTCTTAAAGGATTACCTGAATAGCAAAAGAATAAATGGTAGTCCAGCAATTCAACCAGCATAAAAAACAGCAGCACAACAACAGCAAAATCAGCAGCAAATCCGTGTTAAAACAGCCCGAAAACTCAGAGGAGAAACCCAGAAACGAACTCTAAAGAGGACTTATACTTTTCTAAAAGTTTGCACTCTAAAATCAACTCCTAAAGCTCACCATTTCAGCTTACTTTCCATGTGTTCAAGTGCTGATTTTTTTTTAATGTTTTTGTGTGTTTTTCATTCTCAATTGTAGTGTGTTGGAGTGCTTT